GGTTGTCGTACTTGATGAGCAGCCTCTGCATGATGGAGGCCAGGCCTGCAGGGGAGTACCAGGGAGTCTCACCCCGAGCTGGCCAGCCCCATCCAAGAGCAGGCAGCATGCTGGGCCTGGGGGGGTCACCCTCAGCACCCCTCCCTGGGTGGACACCAGTGACAGGCAGTTCCCCCCCCTCCAGCCACGCAGACAGCCTGAGCAACATGGCAGAAGCCGCCATTTTTCATCAGCCTGCACCCCAAAAGTATGGGGCACCATGTGCTCCATCACCCCATAAAGGACACCAGCCCTCCACCAGTACTGCCTGCACCTGGACACCTAGCACTTGTCCTGGCAAAATAGGGGTGCCTTCCCCCCCCCCCAAACTGAGCCCAGCAGCCCCACACCCCAAGGGACACAGACCCTCCAGCACTAGCAAAGCTGCCACAGAGCTGCCTCCTAAGAAAGGCTGAGCCCAAAGGACATGGGACAGGGGTTAAGGAGGAGCAGAGCCACTCACTGTCCCTCTCGCCCTCACGGAGGTCCTGGAGGCGGCAGACGTGGCGGCGGGGCAGCAGCAGGGTCTGGTAGGGCCAGGTGGCCCAGTATGGCACCACGACCAACCAGTCCACATTCTCCACCACCAGCCGCTCCTGCAGGACACAATGCTCGATGGGGACACCTGCAGCCCTGTCACCCCGGGGATGGGTGCTCCCAGGGGGGCCCTGCCCTTGGCGGGCTGGGGGCCTGCCCCAGCACACATCCAGCTCCCAGGGAGGGGGACGACGCCATGTCCTCACCTTCCGCTGAGCCTCCTGCTCGGCGTACTCCAGCAGCATGGGCACGCCATGCTGGCGCAGGTGCTGCCGCTGGGTCCGGTCCTCCAGGCGCGCCTCGTTTGGGAGGAAGCTGCTGGCCCACACCTGGGAGGGACATTGGGGCACGGGGCTGGGTTACCTGTACCCCGAATTTGCAGGGGTGCCCCAGACAGGCTGCCCATCTGCAGGTCCGTGCTGCCACCAGGTGGAGAGTCCGACATGTGGCAGCCACAAGGGACAGTACCCCACAGGGGAGGTGACAGGAGAGGCATGAGGGAGGGGATCCTCTCGGCAGAAAGCTTTGGGACTTGGGCGGGGGGATTCCCGTTCACATCTTCCACCTGGGTTTGTTTTCGTAAGGTTGCCCAGAGGGACTCGCGGTTAAGCCAGGTGACGGGTGGGACAGCCTCACCTGGCAGTGGGGGTGTGGGTTGGAGCAGCCCATCATCGCTCCCTTGTTCTCGAAGATCTGTGGAGGAAGAGGTGCAGCCAGCAGGTCCCAGCCCCAGGGTTCCCAGCACACCAGGAAAGCATCCCGCAGGGAAGCAGAACCTTGCACCCACCTGGAAAGGCTCAGGGGGGCGCGAGGTGGAGATAGGGGACCCACACGTGGTCGGGAGGGTCCCAACCCTGGATGCTGCCAGAGCACCCAGCCACCCCAGCCCCCCGCCTCCACCCGAGCCCCCCAGGGCAGGGAGAGAAGGGCAGCCCCCACCAGTCCCAGACCTGCACCCAGGGGTAGGAGGCACCCAGCTCGGCCGCCAGCTCTGCCCATGCATCGATGACAGCACGGATCTCCGCCAGGGACATGAGGGGCAGCGTCAGGTCTGACCAAGGGTGGAAGCACATCACCTTGCTGCGGAGGAGACAGACATGTCTGGGGATGCAGGGCGTCCCCAGGGACCCCCACGGCCCTGCTGGGCCAGGGGTGAGACCCACAAAACGCCCCCAAAACAGAGCAGGCGCGCACAGAACAGGCAGCACAAGGAGGGGAGCAGGCTCAGTCCACTCCATCCCACGAGCCCTGGCTGACATCGCTGCCTGGACCTCCCAGAGCCATAGGGGTACTCACCACACACCCCGGGCTGCTGCTGCTTGAAACAATGGGTGATCGCTGTCACCTGGGGAAGGACAGAGAGCGGGGAGGGAGAGGGTAATGGGACAGCACCCACGCCTCTCCAGGCCCGCCTGCAGCTCCCCCAGGACCTGAGCCTGGGGGTTCCCGGCAACCTGCTCTCCCCCCAGATGTTACCAGGCTCAGGAGCATCGGGCTGCAGCGCAGGGAAGTCATTTGGGAAGACGAAGGTGCCCTCATACTGGGGGTTCACCTGCCGGGGCGAGAGATGGGATCAGGGTCGGGACGGGGCGGTGGGGGGAGCCCAGATGCCTGGGTCCTTGGTGGTACCTCGCCGTTGGCCCGGGTGGCCCCGGGGCAGAGGGGGTTGTTGGGGTCCCAGCGGGGCACATCCTCGGGGGGTGGCTTCTCCAGCTGCCCCTGCCAGGGGCGCTTCACCCGGTGGGCCGACACCAGCACCCAGTCGTCCCGCAGCGGGTTGTAACGAGCGTGCTGGTGCTCTGCGGGGCGAGAGGAGCAGGACATCAGGGAGGGAGGGAGGTGCAGACCGCCCCCCTCCCACCATGCCCCTTCCGCGGGGAACCCTGCAAGAGGGTCTGCGCCCCACTTTATGCCCCC